AGCCAGATGCTGGCTGCGGAATTCTGGGAGTTGAAGTCCACACATCTTCAGGTTGCCAAGGTTGAAAAACACTGGTCTAGACCAACCTATTGACCTTCAGGTATGTTGCACTACAAATGCAGAGGTGATGGGAAATACAGCCTAACACACCTAGAGGGTACCAGGTTGGAAAAAGCTGCTCCAAATACAGAACTAGACAGATCAGTCTGGCTCAGGATACTGCAGATACGTTAGAAATTTTCCCCTTTGGGTTCAGCAACTCAGGAAAGTAAAGATGATACACACATCAAAAAAGAAAACAAAAACAAAAACAAAAAAGCAAGATAGCTCCACACATTGATTTTACCACAGAATATTGCCAGAAACAATTTTATTTACACAAGGACAAACATTGCAACATCTTACAAAATACTCAACTGAAAGTTGTATTCAGAGCGAGAGAGACAGAAAGCAGGAAAAAAAAAAAACTACAGATACTCCCCACTTGTGGGGCATCTTTCGGTATCATGGGTGGGTGGGGGGCTGTTTAGAAGGGGGGAAAAGACAAAAAAGTCCCAATTCCCCTCCACAATAACCATCCCCATGACAGTTTAATACTGGCGTGGAATTGGAGCTGTAGCACACAGTTGTCCCACGCTGGTGTCCTAAGGACTAATGGCTTTTCAAAGTAGTTGCTACTCTTGGCCAGAACTTTCTTTCTCCCTCCCTCCGCCCACCCCCCCAGAAAACTCAAGATGAAAAATAATATGAAAACAATGGTTCGTGGACATTTTCTTGCCCCCACCCCACATAAACAAGGAGGTGGAAACAGAGATGTAGGTGCAACAAAGTCTACAAGTGGAACCCATCATTTCCCAATTGTAAGCTTTATGGAACACATTAATTGATATATTTAGCTGTAGTCTTTTTTGCTCTAGGTGGAGAGATTTGTATAACTGCAATGGTAGGTTTTTGTGTCATTTATTATGAATATGAATCTGTTAAGTGGAAAAAAGTATGGTGGTGGAGAATAATACATTTTTATATCTATGCCACTGAATAATTAGCTTGGCCCACTGAATGGAAGCTGCATCTTTATAGAAATTGATGTAATGGACATTGAAAAGCCTGCAGTGTATTCTAGGGGGAGAGACTATTTCCGACAATCCTGGTAATGCACACTAAAGTCCATGAGTTACCCTATGGCAGTGTTTCTCAACCATCTTTAAGATGTGTGGACTTCAAGTCCCAGAACTCTCCAGCCAGCATGCTGGTTGGGGAATTCTGGGACTTGAAGTCCACGCATCTGAAAGAGGCCACAGTTGAGAAACACTACCCTATGGCATGTACAAGTGGGAACCTGAAGGTATTAGGTCATTATGTAGGCATAGGCATAGTCTCGGAAGCCAGCATTCACCCTACTGCAGATCTCTAGGACTGTATAGAAACTTCCCATAAATCAAATGCACTAACACTTGTTAAGAAGTGTACATGAATGTGCAAATAAAGGAAATATCTGCATCTCCAGCGGGGACAAACAGGAAAAGTATTAGCATTTTTAAGGAGTAGTTTATTCTACAACAGGTGGGGAATCTGGTGCTACAACTCCCATCAGCTTTGGCCTTTATCAGGCTTACAACTCACAGAAATTTCTGCCCCAAATTATCCTTGGCAGCTGAAGCTCATAGAAGCTAGAATCCAACAATATTCAGAAAGCCAAAATTTCTCATGTCACAGAACTTTAGGTACAGAACTACAAGAATGCCTACTATAAACATCTGTGTCAAACCAATGAGCTATCTTGAAAATTCAGAAATGCTCACTGGGATGGCTCCTAATAGAGCTATTGTTTTCAGTACAACTTAGGCTACCATCTTATATATATTTACTGGGGAGTAAGCCCTATATAACTCAACAGTGTTTCCTTCTCTGTAGACATGCATAGGATTGTGCTGATCTACTGTATTCAATCTATTATGATGAAATCCATAGACAAAATACTTGGCCCTCCCTGAATGCAGCAATGAAAACAATGTCTCAGCCTTGCCCAAGAAGGGTTATTTTATAGTTTAATTGAGGAAACCTCCCCACAGAAGAGAAATGCAATCTGTCATAGACTATGAACCTGATGTGAAATTATGGGATGGGATGGCTGGTACTGAAGGTGAATACCTTTCGACAATTGGACAAGAACAACAGCAGACCACTTGACCTAGCAACCATTCTCCTCTTAGCAGAAAGGCCTTCCCCGATCTGGTGCCTTCCAAACACGTTAGATTTCAGTTCTCCTAATACTCAGGCCATGCTGGCTAAAGGATTATGAGAACTAAAGTTCAAAACATCTGGAAGTCCCAGGTTAAAAAGGCTGCTCTTCATTACTGAGTTACAGCTACTGAGCGTTCTACATTTGGCTAAGCATAATTTAAGGAGCAGTACAGATGTACCAAAGCAAAAATGACAGCTACTTTCTGAGCGCCTGAAAAGTTGCTGATCCCTGCAGTAGGCCATGAATCACATTTCACAAACCACAATGGCTTGCTTCACCCCCCCCATTCAACCAAGGCCAAACATATCACAATTCAACTTAGTACAATGTGTGAATTGAATCACTGTGTGAATGGCAAAGGCACTTGCTTACAGTTCTGTTGACAGTAAGCAGAAGGCTGCACAGTGCATGCTACTGAATTACAGAGGTAATATGGAGAGATGGAAGAGCAGTGATATATCCTACCTGGGTCTTAAGTGTTCTATCATTAACAACACCATTTGTTTTGCTGCTTCCCCATTTGGGGCAAGTGGGGGTGGGTGAGATGTTCAGACTGGCTATCTGGTAACCATGACATTATTCTATAAGTAGCCCATTCTGAACCTGATGTCCTCTAAAGATGATGAGAACTGAATTCCAACACATCTGCAGAATACCCAGTAGGAGAAGGCTGCTGTAACATAATTAATGCTAAAGATGGTACCCTATGTCACGTATAGGTCATCTAGCTACCTTTCCTAGCAAAGATATAATTTATTGCTTCTCACTTCCCAACTTGATTTTCCTTGCTATTCCTCACTGCCAAATGTACACTTGTATATATGGATTTTTTTTTTTTAAAAGTAATGAAATTCAGAAATGATGAGCTAAAGGATAAGGATCACTACATGCCTCCTGTATTGAGTGGCCCAGCTTGATCTTTAGATACTTTTAACTATCCAAAATAGTTGTGGTGGCTCCCTCCCTATGGAATATCATTCCCCTGGAGATAAGACTGGTCCCCACCTTGATACTTTTCTGGAAGGCCCTGAAGACATGGTTTTGTCAGTGAGATTGGGGACCCCAGGCTGATACGGAGCCAATCAAATGGTTAGTCTGAGTGTGTTGCTGCCAGGGGGGTGAGGGCAGGATTCGTTGGTTTTTGTATTATAGGTTTTAATTCCGTAAGCTGCCCAGAGTCACTGTGTGAGAGTTGGGCAGCCATATACATTTGTTTAATAAATAAATAAATAAAATATAGCATGAGGGAAGAGGGTTTGATTTCTATCCCACCTAATACAAATCACAAAATTCACTTAAATTTCACTTTATTTCCCTCAAATCCGATTATAGCAGAGTTGTTAGCAGATTTAACTGCTAACTTGTTTTATGTGCATGAACAATTCTATCAATAGCGTATGAGTTTCTCCTGTCCCTCATATCTTGAACAGATTCCAGCCCCACCTTATTTTGGGAGGTGGGTTGCAAAATCTAACTTGTTCCTATTGTTCAACTTTTTGATGTCACAATCTTTAGTGGACAGAAGTCTGCATAGCCTCCCCCCAAAAGGAGACAAGACAGCCTTGGGAAAAATACAAATGGGGAAGGGGCATTCAAACTATAGCAGAACAGGAGGGCTTGAGATCACACTGGTACCTAAAATCAGCAGAGGCCCATTCCTGACTATATTGTCTTTCCAAGCACAGATTACTTATTGCTGTATCCACGAAACACAACTTATGGCAACAGCTATGTAAGTCTGCTGCATGGGGAAGAGATCATATCCTCCCCCAACCCAGGCATCCAAGTAACTGATTGCAAGCAACAATAGCAGCTTAGCGATGCCTGTATCTGCCTCTCTTATATCCTGCTTGATTTATGTACTTCCACAATGATCCATTACAATGAGCAACAGAAGGGTTACGCTTCTGTGCTTCTGCTGTGCTTCTACAGAGATACTACAGTACCTAGCAGTGGTCAGGCTGCTACAAGTAGATCTTGATGGGACAAAGTGTGCATTACCAAGTTGATGGAGGAGGTCTCCATCCCTCCCTATCTCTCTCCCCAACCAGAAGGCTTTTGGCTAGCGTGGTGATGAAAAGAAGCTATCTTCAGGCATGCACTGTGTTTGATAAATCAGGGCAACAAATGGTGTTGAAACGGTGGTCTTCATTGTCACAGAAGGAGAAACAGGAAGGGAAACATAAACATAGCACTGTCAAGACACGACCTTCCACTCATCATGAATATAAGAATAATTATCTTATAAGAAAACCTGGAAAGGAGTATCACTCACACATGTGCATCTTGGAACGTTTGGGAGGACTAAACCTGAACAAATGCAGGAATCCTTAAAACAGACCCTGGCAAGGTTACCATACGTGCAGCTAAAAATATGTCACAGCCTTACATTCTACACAACTACCCCCTCCCCAATGCCTCCCCCTCCCACACACAGCTTAGAAATCCCACTGCCCTGAATTAGTGAAAACAATATCAAGCCTCATCTTTTCCTTTGTTTCATTATCCCTGCTAGCAACTTTCCAAAGGAAAGGAGATTTGGTACGAGTTAAAAAAATACTATTAAATAATACATCTGTAATAAAATTATATACCTTTTTTCTTTAAATCCATTTCTTTTAAAAGCTAAAATTGCTCTATGTTTCTATTTTTTTCCCTTTTTTTGGCTGGTGAAGTAACAGCAAAGAATTCTCTCCTTTTTCTTTTGCTTTGTTTTTTCTTTATGAATGGACAAACTTTCATCAAAACAGAGTTTGTACAAGTGATACAAGAAATCAAATTATTTACAATAAACGACAAGGAGTCTTTCAAACAATGACAGAATGGAGAAGGAGGAAGAAAAATAGCGAAAAAAAGAGAATGTCAAGAAAGCATTGGTCATGAAACAGTCAACATATGCAAAACCTTTGTTACAAAAGGGATTTTATGACACACAGCACGATCCAGCTAAGGAGGTCCATCCTTGTAAATAGGCTTGCACGCATATATCGCATATATCGCTTGACAGATTGAGAACTGCAGGCATAAATAGGACACATAATTCAGATGTGCAAATCAAAGCACAGCTGAGTGATGGTGCAGTCACGCAGAACTGCACTGTGTTGAAAGTGTGTTAACGCTCATCCACAATGATCCCCAGGCCAGTGAGATATTCATGATTTCTCTGAACACGCCTGGTGCAGAATCAGGGCCAAAACATGCATTGGGGCTGGGGACAATATGTGATTCCTTTCCGTATTTATATAGGATAATTGTTAACTAGGATGGTAACCGAAGAAGGGATAGGACTGGGGAGGGATGGTAGAAAAATGAACTCACAGAGAAATTAAGGCATTAACAAAAATGACTTAAAGGCACACTTTTTCCCCTTTCTCTTCACCTTGGGGGCTTTTTCTAGAGCTTAATCCAGAACTATACAAATTGAGGAACAGTTTAGAGCTGAGATGAATAAAGTTTTATGCAACAAAGGTAGTATTAAATCCAAATATTTGTGAATCTATTTTGGGGGTGGGAAAGAGAATGAAAACATTATAAACTGCAAAGTCAGGGGAAGAGTATTTGAAAATTTGGGGGTGGGGGGGATTTTCAACCCCAACTCAATGTGCAAATAAACCAGGAGAGAGGAATGCCATGTCAGAATCAGATTCAGGAAGAGGTGAAGTGGGCAAGTCTGGTTCAATGCAGTAGGCAGTATGGGTGGGCTGCCTAGGATAGCAGAACTCCTGGGGCTCCAGGCTGCGTAGGAAAGTTCTCCTGCCCTAGATTCTAAAATGCAAGGGGCAGCTGTGGGTCCCTTTCTTCAGATTGCAATCCATTTCTCTCTCATTCCAAACAAATGAATGGGGCAAAAACTATATATTCACTTGCATGGAGGAGGGAAAAGGAGGTAAAACTGAATTACAAGAGTTGGACATGGCCATTTAGGTCATTAAGTCCAACCCCTTGCTCAGCACGGGCATCCAGATTAAAGCATCCTTGATGGATGGCTATTTAGCCTCCACTTGAACACTGGAAAAAAATGAGGAAGAATACACCTCTTTGCCCCTCCTACTAGATGTGTGTATGAGAGACAAAGAGAGACAGAAAATACTTTTTCTCCTCAAGTAGCAAAATGGCTTTGCCAGTCCTAAGAAGGGGACAGGTTTAGTGTCCAAGGGAGGGATGTGGGGGAGGGAATGATATCTAAGAAAGGAATAATGGAGATGTCCATGTGAAAGCCCCCCACCAGTCCCCTCACAGATCTCCAAAGAGTCAGGACAAAATGGTGATGCTGGTGAGAACAAATGCTAGGAGACTGACGCGATCACGCACACACACAGAGGCTCATTTTGTCCAGTGCAACTCTTTTTTTTTCCTTTTTTTCTTTTTAATAGATAAAAAATAATAATTTTGTTGTTGTTTTAACGAACTCACAAATGACCAATTAAACCCACAGAGTGACAGCTACACAAATTGAAGTCTTGGCACTTCACAACACCGGTTCGGCCTCCATTGGCTCTTCTACTGGTCTGTGGGAAGAAGGGAAAAGAAGGCAAAGAGATGCTGATTAATGGTCTTTCGCTGGTGCAAAGGTCAACACAGCTATTGGTTGTGCTGTTGATCAAAGAATGTTCAAGGGCTGTTCTCGTAGTAGTAGGGGCACTACCAGTTGAAAGCCTTTGTTCTGGGTGGAGGAGAGGCCCAATGTCAGTCACCCCCAATCTAGCGCCTTCCGGACGTGCTCTGACCACCAGTATACTCATCCTAGTTTCTGACAAATTGAGGATCAACAAACCACACTAAAGACTGAGGCAGTGTTTCTCAACCTCAGCAACTTTAAGATGTATGCACTTCAACTCCCAGAATTTCCCTGGTCAGCATGCTGGCTGGGGAAATTCTGGGAGTTGTCCACACATCTTAAAGTTGCTGAGATTGAGAAACACAGGATAAAGGACAGTGAATTCGATTTCTTTCCTCACAGGACTATACAGAGAGGAGAAATCCTCTCTGTTAGGACATGTTTTATTTCAAGCCCTAATTTTGAGTCAGACAACTCCTTTGTTTCTAATGGTATCTGTATGTGTTTTCCGGCACATCAGCAGAATCTGCCAGGGGAAGGGAGTGACGGGCTGCACCCTCCTCCTGAGAGGTGAACTTTTTAATCTTTTCATTTGACAAAACAAAGGTGATGGTGCTACTCTGCAGCAAGGCCTTTTGTTACATTAGAGTAACAACTTTTCTTAGAATGCTAAAATTATATTAATAACAACAACAGATTATATTGTATGCTGCCTGACTCTCAACAATGGTGAGCAGCTCACAACAATCAAACAAAGAAATTACAATAAAATCAATGAAACATAAAAAATAAAAGATGGCGATGAAGCGAGGGGTCCCACTGTGCTGTTGTTTAGAAGAGCCATGAAGACCTGGCTCTTCACCCAGGCCCTTGGCGAAGGAAATAGTGCCTGTGTTGGCACTCCCCTGAAGAAACCGATCCACAACTTGGGGGTTGTCTTGAATTTACATACACTGTTCATCAGGCTGCATCTGAAGACTCACTAGAAACTGCAACTGGTATAGGATCTGGATTCCCATATGGTGGTGGATGGGAGTTGCCCCAGCCATATGACACCAATTCTGTGAGCGCTGCATTGGCCACCAATTGGTTTCTGAGAATAATTCAAAATGCTGGCTCCTAAGTACCTTCAAGTCTATCTCTCTGAATGGAAAATACCTGTCCGTTCTGTTAACCTGGTAGGAGATGCTTTAGGTCCCCTGCTCTCGTAAGATTTGGAATGGGACATGGAAGCAGGCATTCTTCAGAGGTTGCTCCTCTCCTTTGGAATAACTCTCCCCTCTCCAAGATCCTGATGGCTACTATCCTCTTGTCAATTAAGAGGTGTTTCATAGGCTTTGGGAGTTTAATGATGCAATGCCCTCACCTCAAAGGGTCTTGATATTTGTTCAGTTATCTGATTTATTTGATATAGTTTTATGGTGTTGTAGTTTAATTTTGTATTTTTATGGCTATAAACCACTAACTCATTTTTTAAGATGGAAGCATAATAAATAAATACTGACATAAATGTCCATATTCCTGAATTCTGGAACATGCTGGGAATGTTTCAATAGCTACCACTATTCACCTGCTACTGTTTAGTAACCCTGGATCTGGGGAGATGAGCAAATGAAAGGGCTGACATCAGAGTAGTGAGTTGGTATTGGGCTGGGCTCTGGGCAGCTATTGGGGGCAATGGCTTGCTGAAATTTGTGGCTTAAACAGTAGCCAAGGATGCTAAGTGCTACTGCTGGCCCTGATACCAGCATAATGAATTTAGGGGAAGAAGAGACAGTGATCACATGTTGCTTTCTGTTCCTAGTATAAGGATTTCCATCTAGAACTCATCCTCCCCCTTTAGCCAATGTTACAGGTAAGGACTGCAGAATTTTATCTGCATTTTCTTTTCTTTTTTTCGATCAGTACTCAAGGCAGAAAGAGTTGTGTTTTCACTACAGTCTATCAAATTGGCTATATTATGACAGGTTCACATAACAGCCTGATTGTTGTACTTGAAGTTACTGTGCCAAATGTATTCTTACAATATTTAAGTATATTTTTTATAATTTTTTGTCTGACACATTTCTTTTGTAAGGTTAATTATTATAATAAATGTTGGTTGATGGGACCCAATGATTTATAATTTCAGTACATTCTAAAGTAGTTGCAAGATTGCTTCCACATGTTCAAGGTGAGGAAGGAAATGAAGATTTAGATTTAGAAAATATAAACACCCAAAATAATAGACCTGGCCATCAGACTAGAGAGCATTGGTTCAGCTCAGAGACTAAGGGCTTTTCCAAGCTGTAGCCTTATGCTGTTTCATTCCTGTGCATTCCTTATGCCTTTGATTCCAGCTGGAAATGGAGCCACCTGAAGAAATCTTTTTCCAGACTTCAGCCCCTTCTTCTGTTCTGGCCATAGTGATGGCCTGGTGTCCTGTCTGCATTGTGCTTATCACAGCCCAATTGGTGCATGGCCGTGCTTCTTTCTCTCTCCCACTCATGCCAGGAAAACAAGCACTATCACTTTCCTTTCCGTGGGTGAGTCTTTCAGGTTATGTGATTTCCATTGATAAACTTTTGTATGAGTTTCCCTCCACTGACTACCCCTTATACTTGATCCCATCTGATGCAGCCCCTGGTGGACCAGTAAAAAATAAAAAGGAAAAAAAGGGACCCCCCCCCCAACAATTTGACCATTATTCCTGCTGAAGGAGAAACTAGCCTACTTTTCTCAGTTTCACCTGGTTAAAACTGGAGGGGAGGGGACATTCCTGCCACAGTGCATGGTAGCCAACTGGAGTGGAGGCATTTGCCTACTATGAAATGAAGCACAGCAGGTGCCCCAGATAGCAACTCTTGTGCCAAGACAAGTCAGAAAACATTTGGTTGATGCAGAGCAGGAAAAGACGGGCAGTGTTGTCTTCCCAGTGGATGTTGTGCATTCCTGCCCTCAAGAAACAGTGGCACACATGTTGCTGGGGCAACCTGATCAGGCAGCTCAGACCTCAATCAAAACCCTCACAAACAGACCCTTGTCATTTCCCAAAATGAACCTACCGGACACCACAGTCTGCTTTTCCCTGCTCTGTGTCCACTGACAGTGATGCCATGGCATTGACTGTCTCTGCTTCTTCTGCCTCACCCTTCTGTGCCTCCAGCAAAGAGCAGCCGACAATTGCTGCAGAACTTTTCACTGAATTCCAGTGTTTGCCTGTGGTACAATTGCAAAGCATTAGGCTTGAAATGCTAGTACTTCGCTGAATTTTTGGAGCTGCCTCCAGGACATCTACCTGTCTTCCTTTCCCAAACCCATCATATTGTCAATGAAATTACTAATATAACACCTTATTTCGTTCTGATCAATGACTATAATAAAGTCTTTATTTGGAATACCTCTTGCTATAATCATGCCTATAGTCAACCTCTTGCCATAATCATGCCTAAACAAATTAATTAAAATGAATGACTAGCATTCCCAACATGTCTTGAGAACAATTAGAAAGTTAGAATTAGCCAGTCAAGATTAGCTCAGAGAAGAGAAATCTCAGGGGCACTCTCTTCTTAGCATCTAAAGGTTGTTGAGCAGGTGGCAGAACAAACGTGATGCATTAGAGGGCAGGACTAGGACAACTAGAAAGGTGGAAAGTACAAGCAAGAGGATTTGTGCTAGAATTAGGAGAAACATTTAAACTACTGCCTCAGAAGGTAGTGGGCTTTCCTTCTCTGGTATTTTAAGCAGATGCTGGAAGGCCATCTGTTTGGGCTACTGTAGCTGGTGATTCTAGAGGACTGAACTGGGTGGCCTCTAAGGCATGTTTGAATCCTGTATTTTATGGCTCTGAATCAGGGGTCAGTATCCGGTCCAATTTAACCTCCCACCACCACTCCAAACCCCAAATATGGTGAGATGTTGGAGTTTTTTATTTCAGATCCCAAGCAAATTTTTCAATATTAATTTTAGATTGTTTGAGGATGTTGCAGATGCCATGTTGGGTATACTGGCAACCTGGCTCTTATCAGCATGATGTTGCCAACCCCTGTTCTTTATACCAGCAGGCTGGCTGGGGGATTCTGGGAGGTGAAGTCCCCATATCCTAAAGCTGCCAAGGTTGAGAAACACTTTAGACAATACAGCAATAACCCTATCCTGGATGTAGAATAAATCACTAATTCAAGCTTTTCTTCAACAAATATCCTTTTCCCATGAGAAAATGCAACATCAAAACACTAAGCCCATGCCCCAAAAACTTACTCTGGATTTCAATGACATTCTCCAATGTGGCTATGGCATTTGCATTGGGTTTTTGTTGCAACAGAGCTTGATCCAGCTGTTCCAACTGCAACAAAGGAAACTCAAGAGTTTAGTTTCTGGATTTCACATCTGGCTAGAAGTTATGAGAAAGGAAAGATAGTTCAAATAAAGAGGCACACAAGAAAGAGGGGGTTGAAAATGATTGGGGCAACAAAAAAGTCAAAACAAATTCTACTTCCATTTCCCACAAAGCCTTCAAGTACCATTCCATCCACTTAATACTGTGAATATATGAGCTTCGTTTCAATTTGTTTGATTTTACAACATTTGTTTTTTTCTATTTCTATTTTTTTCTTCTTTGATTTTCAGTAATAAGGCACCTGTGCTTAAATGTAGCTGTTTGCATATCTCTTTGTGCTCTGCTCATTGGTATATATACACAATTCACCAACCCTTTATTATTTTGCAGCTGAAAATCATGGTCAGATTTACCAGGGAAAAACTAAACACTCTTAGGGGTATTTGCATTTTAAACAGTGGACTAGAAAAATATCTAAATAAACAAACCATATTGTTTCATGCATGTTATACATATATGCCAAATGCCAAGTCACACAGTTTTAGATGCTACTTATGAATGAAGAATTTTGGACTATTAAAACAGTAAAATGTATTAGATATCATAAGAAAATAAATGTGTATATATTTTGCTTTAACATCCCCATTTTTCTCCCATGGCGTCTGCATTTCTGGAAACTTGACATTTTTATGTTTGCATCTCATAAACTCTGCACATTTGTCTAAAATAGATCTGCATTTTCCCATCTACCCATGTTCGTAACTCCTCTTCTCTTCTCTTCTCTTCTCTTCTCTTCTCTTCTCTTCTCTTCTCTTCTCTT